TTTAAAAATTGTACTTAAATTTACAATAATTATAATTACTGTTTCTGAATTATTTTTTTTATTTCCATTTTTTGAGTACTTTCCCATAGATCAATTTCTTTATCAATAGAAATTAATTCAATATGACCACCAAAAATAATTAAAGTATTTAATTATATTGAAATTCCAATACTAAATACATTTTAATTACTTCAAATTTTTTTATTACATTAAGACATATATATTTCATTAACAACAATTTTTACAAAAGAATAAAAATATTAATATTTACAATTATTACAGAATTATATTTTTGACTAAATCAATTATTGAATATAAAAATTCATATTTAGTCGAAATGAGAATATTTATAGTTCAATTTTTTTATTTACAAGGTATTTATCTACAGGAAGGATCTCGTGGTCTTAATTAGAACATTAATCCGAATAATTTCATTGATTCGAATATATAAATTTTTCATTGATTCATCATAATAATTATGAATTATCATTATGATTTTGACATTTTGTTGTTGTAATTTGAATATTTCTTTATTTCCTTGTTACGTATTAATCTAATTAATATTATATATACATATATACACAGACGCGCGCGCGCGCGCGCGTGTGTACATATACATATATGTATGTATGTATGTATGTATGTATGTATGTATGTATGTATGTATTTATAGTATAATAGAATTACATTTAATTTCCAATTAAAAAATTTAAAGTATAATGATATATATTATTTTATAATATTTATTATCCTTTTCATTATATTAATTACTGAATTTAATTTTTAATTTAAATAAGTTAATTTCAATAAATAGAGTATTAAATTTAGAAAGAAATTCCATTTGAATGTGGTTCTAATCCAATTTCTAAATTTTCATTACAATTTTCTATACTGCAGCTTTAATTGAATTAATTTTGAATATTGAAATTTGTTGGAATATGTCGATGAATGATGTGAGTTGTGTGAGTGTGATTGTCTTTTGTTAACTAACCAAATGACTACGGCTCCGGGTTTTGCAGTTGACATCGAGGGTCCTTCTGTACGTACATATGTATGAATTTCCTATCCATTATATTATCGCGTATCCTTATTCAAATAAAGGCTCATAAATAAACTCCGATAAGTTATGGGCACAGAATGGTTCCTGTGCAAGAAAATTGTGAGTAAAAGTTAATCACGTGTGACGAACTTGAGAATAAATAAGAGAAAGAAAACGAAATTATGGCGTCTATACACAATTTTTCGAATATAGATAAACTAAATGACAATGATTATGGTTTTAGGGAAAGTGCATATGAAAAGTATTCTCGTGTACAACGATTTATGGTCAGTCGTTAATGGAAGTGAAGTGAAAACGAAACAAAACGAGGTAAAATGGACAAGGAAAGATGCATTAATTAATATAAGTTATATAATTATAGTATAATTAATATAACACAAGATCAACTCATTTATGTAAAAAAGGCTAATACATCAAAAGAGGCATGGGAGAAATTAGAAAATGGGTTTGAGTCAAAAGGTCCCATGAGAAGAACGATGCTAATGAAAGAGTTGGTTCGTATGCAGAAACAAACGAATACAAGCATGACGTAATACGCCAACGAATACAAGCACAAAGCAGAACAAATTCAAGCGGCAGGCATAGAGCTGACGGATGACTTATTGTCGATAATGATGCTAGCTTCTTTACCACCTGAATATGAAAGTTTTGCCGTAGCGATTGAATCACGTGATGAAACACCATCGTTCGAATATTTAAAAACGAAGTTAAAAGAAGAGGAAGCACGACAG